TTTCTCTCTTTAAGGTCTTTTTCTCGATTTTCTTTCATGGTATTCGAGCCAACAAGAGAATTAGAGTGTTGAAACAATACAATAACTCAAAACCAGCTTGCTTAGAGAATCAATGGGTTCCTGTCTGCTTTTTCTTTTTTTCTTTTATGTTTTTATCGAAATTCAATGGAAACTCTTTTGTGCCCTATACCCCAACAATTTCTTTGGTAGATGTTAACACTCATTATGTACACAATGAGGATCGCAATCATTGATTTTGGGTACCAAGCTATCAACTCAATATATTTACAAAAAATCCTTCCTTCGATGTAGTGATGCAATTTTGATACATAATCAATCCTATTTGTTTTTCTTTCTTATTAAAATGAATCGAATCCTATCTTTATATATATCCTTTGAATTACTCAACTATATCCTATGAATTTCATTTCGCACCGAAAACTATTCTAGGAGAAGTTCGAATCCATTTCGTTCGAATATGGATCGGTCTTGGTTTGATATGGTTTACGCGTTACTGGTTCCCAGAAGAGTTAATATCTCCATTAGCTAAACCCTTTCTTACCCTGCCTTTAGACTCGTATTTAGTTTCTACACAATCAACGGAGGCCTTCCTTACATATCTTGCACTGTCTTCAATAGCATGCTCTTACTTCGTCTTTCCCTTAATAAGTCATTAAATTTGGTGCTTTTTAATACCCAGTTGCTATGGAGAACAAAGTACGAAATACAATCGATTCCTCTATTTAAGTGGTTCTCACTTCTCCTTATTCCTGTTCCTAACTCTTCCCCTGGTAGTTCCCAATGTTTGGCACTTTCCATACTTCGTGGGTGAAACATCAACAAATTAGCTCATTCTCAAGTTACAACCTAAGATCTATGACCATATTATGTTAACTCTTCGTATTTCGTTCATTCTATTGGTATGCTCCCAGGTACCTATAATTGTGATCTCTTAGCCAGAACTCAGGGGTCTTTATGTGGAAACCTTCACGAACAATCGTCGTTTTTTTATGGTTTTTTCGCTTTTCACAGCAGCTCTTTCCACACCTCCGGATATCTGGTGCCAAATTGTCGCCCGTTTCCTTATTTCTTTGATAATCGAGTTGGCTATCTTTGTGGCATCGATTTTACAAGTTCGTGAAGAGGGTTGGACGAGTGGAATGAGGGAAAGAGGCTCGATCGACAAATAAAGAAGAGGGGAACCCCTAGAACCTGACAAAGTCACTATCAATGAACTCCCGAGCAATTCTCAACACCAACCTATGCGATTCCTTCCCCTAAAGATTCTAACACACAGAGGACTCCTTACCTTAGGAGCGGGATAAGTGAGACAGCCCCGCACCAGTGAAGAACGCAAGCAAAGCAGGAGCTCGGGCATTGTTATATTCCATCAAGAGAAAGGAGGCAGACTGGTAAGAAGACCGGGGGAGCGAACCGAAAAGCTCAGCTTTGCGGAACGGACCAATCTTTCGTACCCTTACTCTCTCTCTATAAAAAAAAGCCTGTGGGAAGCGCAAAGAGCTAAGCCACTAATGTCATGGCGAAGGTTATACCTCAGAAAGTCAGCGAAGCTAAGGTTTCATATGTCTTTTTATATCCTTTCGATCGAGCGACAACTGATAAGGAAGACCTGCATTCCCCTTTTCAATCAGTCAGCGATAGGGAGGAGAGAGAGAAGGTTGCAGAAGTGCTTCTAGATCTCATGGAATAAGGCTGAATTTTGAATTGAACTTTATTGCTTTCCATAGATTTAGAAGAGCAAGAGAAAAGAAGTGTTGAGATGAAATCCTGATTACATTACCGCAGGCAAAAATTGGATTTAGAAGAGCAAGAGAAAAGAAGTGTTGAGATAATATACATAATTTCTTCATCTACTGATACTGAAAAAGGGGGCTAATCACCCTCAGAGATTTTGAGGCAGAATTGGCATACAAAATTCTTATCGTGAGGATTGAGCCAGCAAAAGTGATTCTCCTCCTTTTTGGGGCTGGAAGATAATCTTTCTCTTAGTTGTCCATAGCCAAAATACAGGAAAAACACAAGAAGTATGATGAAGCCAAATGCTCATGGATGGGCAGTTGAATAAATAGGGAGAGAAAGACTTTTTTATCCTTCTTCATGTAGTCTATCACTTTGAGATCATGAGAACCTTGTGATTTGATAGAAATGAAATTATGGCATGCATCTCTGAGGAGAATGGCACGGCCAAACATCATCCCAAAAGCGAATTAGTTTACCATTGCGCAACCAAATAATACCTTTATGCAGGATATTTTAGAGGTGGGTTGGGCAATCCATTTTTGCCATTGGAGGGGTACTTAGCAGCCAAATATGAACATCATGGCTTTTAATGCACATTCATACAAAGATATCGAGATCAATGCAATTTCCTCTTATCATCACATAAAGATGAACTTTAAAGGAGTAGGGAAGTCGTCCCCTCTGGAAATTAAGATTATGGTGGGGTCATCAGAGATGGCTATGGTGCTGTCATGTGGAATTGAAGAGGTCTACTCTAGGGATCAAAGATGAAACCTTTGCGAAAGTAGAAACTCTCATGGCCTTTTGTCCCACCCAACTATTTATTCTTTTCAAGCTAACTTGGGTGTTAGGCTGCAGTCTTGTAGTCTTGATGGGATGTCTTCCATTCCATCAGAGATTTCCATTTCACTCTCCCACTTATCATCTCTCTGTTGGACTTGTTCCCTCTTCAACTCAGCCAGCGCCTTTATAGGCATTTTGATTGAGAATACTTAAGGTCCCTTTGTTTTTGTTTTGAAATACCCGAGCTCTCACAAATCGAATTTGAGTACCACGGGAAAAAGCTAGCTGGATAAACAAGACAAGAATCACCCACTCGGCAATGCTACCTTGGGGAGGATGTAAAGCTATTTAATAGAAGAATGGAAATATTCAAAAGCTTTTTCGATATATTCACACTATGGAAGAGTTGGTGAACATTGTTCTGACTCATAGCTCTAAGATGACTAGCATGAATGAGCCAGCTTCAACAAACACCACCGTTACTTTTAATCACAGACAGACTTGCACTGACCTCAACATCAAAGGATGAACCTGGTCTGTCTCATTAGCTTAACTCACTCCTAACCTCCCGTCACACTGCAAAGAACACATAATGAAAACTTCCTGGTAAGGTCTATACAAGGGAACGAGAAAGGAGTTTGATAAAAAAGTGTTTGGGAATGTCCCGCTTAGTTAACTAACATCGAGTTTGGAGTCGGGATAGCATGGATACGAGACGAGGGAAGTTTGGAATCATGGTGGTTTTCTATCTTCATCTTACCCAAAGTAATAGGAGAATAACAAAGGCCTTTCAGCGATTCGACGCGCCCCCCTAAGCTAGACGCTTCACCTACCTGACCTTAGAGAGAAAGAATAGAATGAGCTGCCCTAGCCCTAGTTTGACTAAGAGTTTGAATTGCTCCGTCTTCAAAAGGACAGCGGACCCGCGCGAGTCTTCGATCTTGCATATATATCGAATATCTATCGCTATTATCTATAAACCTAGTCAACTTATTCCTGCATCACCACTACGTAAATGAAATTTTCTTAGTCCTTTTTCTGTGAAACAAAGCCAAGCCTTTTCCGCCCGCCTTCCATCCCGCGGTTCCCTGTTCCGTTTTTTATTAGCCTAGTCATGAACCACCCTAGTTGGAGCCATGGTCTACCCAGCAGTGCTTTATATCCTCCTTGCTCTTTGTCTAAGATTAGACTCAAGCTTTAGATTATAGGGATCCTTTTTCTTTAGTTTTTTTCTTTTGGCTAAGAAGCCCGTAGGTTGTGCGCCAGCCATAGGTAGCTTGAACTGTGATGGCCACAATGCTTAGCTATTGCCGATCCCCAAGACGTCTTTGGTTGAATCTTCACACCTGATCCACCGTCTGAACTTCCTACATTCACTATTTACTCCCGGAAATTGAAAGAGGAAAATAGGAATTGTAACCTCCCGATCTGCTGTAGTCTGCCGTCTCCACGGCTTTCCCTTTTGCGTGCTGCTCCTCAAGCCTTCGAGTGTCGATCTTCGCTTGAGCCGGCTCCGAGGCTCTACCCTGGCTTTTCATTGGTTCCTCCCAACCTGCTTTTTTTCCATATCGCTCGCGCATCTTCAAGAAAGGGGCCGAGTACATAGACGAGGCAGTCCCGGGAATGAAAGCCCATTCCCTCATGGGAACTCCTTTACATCGGTTGAAGAAAAAAGGTTCAATCTTGTTCAACCATAGCGTAAGCAAAACCTGACAGCCCGCCCAGAGTTTGACCTTCTCCGATCCTAGAAGGAAAAGAAAACCCACTGAACTTTCCTTCCCCCAGCGGACAACAACACAGGGAGGAAGACGATTAGGATCTCACGTGTGGCAGCTGTTGGAACAAACTCAGAATCCAAGAGGTTACCTAAAGAAAAAGGAAACTCACCACTCACTGGTGAAAGAGGAGAAAAGAAAAGACAATTTTAGGCCCCGGGGCCAGAATGCAGTAGGGTCTTTAAGCCCCACACTAGATTCTCGAGATTCATGGGCCGTCTCG